AGCTTGTTTTAAAAATCCAAGTGCAAGCTGCCATTAATGTTGTTTTGTACCACATATCTAATGCTGCAGTATGATAATTAACTGTGCATATCTCATCACACAAATGCTCATGAAGCCAAATGCTAATTATTTGGTGCTATCATGTCAGATACCAGAACACAATCTAATGAAGTCAAATCACTTGAGCCTTCTACTGCTAAGGACACCAGAAAAAATTTTTATAAGATCTTAAAGTTTGTTTCTGAGTTAATTAAAAGTAAATTGTTTCATAGCTTTTGGTTGAAATTTAACAGTATTTTAGAACAATTCCTTCCCGTATATTGCTATTTTCAATATGAGTGTCAGATTTCCTGTGTTCTTTGCTTGAACAAGTGATAGCAGCACTTGAGCCTGTCAAAAGAAAAGTACATGGGATTTTTTAAAATGAAATGGTACCTTCAAAACTTTATGGTGCCAGTAATATTAATGATCCTGGAAGAGAAACCTGAAGGTCTATAGCTATGATTTCTCAGGCATTTAAGATCCTAACAGTTTCAAATATATTTGCAGTTGAAAAGACAGCCTCCCCTGCAATAATTTTTCTCATTGAAAATCTGTTCTCGTTCAGAAAAACACTCCTGAGAAGAAAGTTCTTACTTCTTTGTCCCACTGTCTCTGAATGTCCACTTAATTCATCATGGCAGTTGACTCTATAAATCAGTATTTAGTCTAGCATTCAATATTATCTGACCAATATACTGTGTCCTTGTGTTCTGACAGTGTCTGCTGCTCCTGAGACAAAGGTACTGTATTGTGCAAATAAGTTCAAAAATAAGTAATAATAATACAAAAATTAGAAATAATAAGCAGCATGTTCCTTTATTAATTTATATTTTTGATTTAAAGAAGGGAAAGATAAACTGTTTTATAGTTGAGGACTTGAGAATCACAAAAACCCGATAAAATATACCAATTTTGACATAGAATTATTTTTCTGCTCTTTTTTTTGTTTGCTCTTTGTTTCATTTATTCTTTATTATGGTCTTTAGGTGCTCTTTGTGAACTCAGTACATGGTCAGAGCTTCGTAAGGATAAAATTAGCAGCCATTTAACTTATCTCTTTAGGCTTATCTCCTCAGAGATAAGTCAAGGGCAAGATTTTTTCAATCCCTAAGAAATTTTATTATTTAAATTATTTCCTACTACTTTTCATTTCTGCTTCATGAAAAACATCCATCTGAATGGATTTTAGGCCTATTCATTTTGCTATCAGCAGTACAGATTTCATTTTTCATGTTCTTTTCTTTAATAGCTTTGATTCATATAGTGTTTATCAGAACCCAGAGACAGGTGACAAGTTTGTTGAAGGAAGAAGAACCTTTTTCAGGGCAAGAAGACAAATCAGGTGTCCTTAACTTAATCCTCTTTGTCTTTGTGTGGAAGATCTATTCACTTTGCTATTAAAAAACCCTCACTTTTCTAGCAAAACCTCCCCAAAAAACCTGAAAACAAAACACAACAGCCAGAAGCTCAAAAAAATATTGATAAATTACTATTTTGAAGTTCCCTTCATGACCTACTTTTGTAGGTCATAAAAATTTATGTGTTCTCTATATTATTTATCATTATTACATTAAAAATATTAATCGCTAGAATAAGTAGCTTTGAATTTCCACTGTTTTTTGTGTTTCTCAGCTGTGCTTCAGTACACTCATTTGGAGTGGGTGTCTTACAAGTATGAGAGAAGGAAATAATTTGGTAGCTGATGCGTGTTCTTGCTTTCAATAGTATATTGTTTATTAAAAAGGGATGAATGGTCTTACTTCTATATTCCAGGTAGCTAAACACCTGAGGCTCAATTAAAGCTCATGAAATTATGTATTCTGAGGACAGAAAAACTCCCTTCCCCCACTTGTAATTATAATTCAATATGGGGAGCTGAGAACAGCTGCAATAGGAGGAAGAGGAGGTTAGAGTAACAATTGACTTAATTTCAGAAGCTTGAAGAAATCATGTATAAATTAGGCTGTTAAAATTCATTTTGTTGCAAGTTGGCAGGTGCTTAGCCAAGGTAATTAATTCAGTGGGTTTTAATAAACTAGAATTAGAAGCAAATAAGGAACATCTCCTAAAGCAGTGAAGAAGATGTCTACCACTATCTCTTGGTGGACAGGATGACACATTGTGGCTTTGTGTGAATGATGGGCCAAAAGGTTTGAGTGATGTTGCTGCATGTGCTGGGAGGTGAGGGGAGGTGTTGGACACTGGGCAAGGGAGAAGAGGAGTGAAAGGAGCAATTTGGAGTAGTCCATAACCTGGTGAGAAAGAAAAAAATGTTAACAATTACTAAAATTATGGTTCCATGACTAGATACACTCAATGTTCCATATAACAGTCTTTTTGAAAATTAATCCTATTTGGAAATCAAATTCCGTATACAGTGTTTTCCCAGACAGAACATCACTGTTTGTTTGTTTGTTTATTTATCAAAGGGGAAGAATAGAGAGGTACATAAAAGCCAGATTTCCAGGAGGGTGTTGGACAGCTGTGCTGAGCCCATGGCTATGGCTGGGAGGGGGCAGTTTTGTTTGCCAGCACTGCTTCTCTGGCTGAGGAAAGAGGGAGGCTGAGTTCAATGCAAGCACTGCCTGCACGTGAGTCTGTCATCACAATCCCACAGCGGTTGTTAGGTGATGTTTTGAGGATGATTTGCATCTCTCTGATGACATGTGATGCAAATACACTGTTGTATCACTGATACAGACTTACCATCAGTGTTCATTAAAGACTTCTGTCTGCCACTCTGAAGAGTTAGATATAATCAGCAGTCATATATTCCAGCTAGAGCTTCTCTTAAAACTTGCTTCTGTCCTCTCATTTTGTGCTCAACATGATCATTAATATTTTCATCACAGTTCTCTCTTCCACAATAGCCATGTCCACATTTGTCTCAGATTATCATCATGTATCTTTCTTTCAATACAGGGATAAATTATGAACTACATCCTACAGTCTGTACTCAGTCAACCAGAAGAGTTAGCAATGTTTTCACCAAAAAGATCAAGATTTGTTTGTATTTTCATTATATTTAAATTTCTTTTCAGGGTAATACTGAGCAGTTTCTCCCTAAAAAGATTCTGTGCTATTCCTCAAAAGTAATTTTGCTGCCAAATTCTTGTTCCCGCAGAACATGCTAGAACATTGATAGGAAAGCAAATTACAGTTGCCTAGCAGGAATTCATACCATATGAACCACCTAGTTAAAGAAAGGACATTTCTGCATTTTCTATTATGTTTGTTGTGTGTTTCACTGCAGAGATTTCATTTTTAATAAGTGGGATTTATTTCATATACAGGAAATACTGCTATTTGTCAGGTTTTAAGAGGATAGATTTTATGAATCCATATACCTTAGGGACACCTAAAGATAACAACTAATGGCAAAGCCTGGGGTGGAATGACTAGTGCATTTTCAGGATCTGCTGGTTTTTTCCAGTTTACAGTCCTTGCTTTTAAAAAATTATCAACAGTTCTCTTGCATGTTGTTGTATAGAACCCTTTTCCCCTAGATTTCAGTAGGCAGTCTGACTCAGGATTAGAAGACATCAGTAAATTCATAGCAGGAAATCATTAAGTTTTGACCCTTCAAGTGCATAAACTTTTGAAAGTTCAGAGGTTGATACCACTTAATGCTAATATCAGCTGGTATCAGATATCACCTATGTATTTGACATAACTATTGGAGTGAACCAGCAGAACTGATTTCAGAAAAGAATCTGGGAAAATTAGCACTATGGAAAATTCAAAACATAACTTATTTGAAAGCCATTACAAATATAAAAAGAACTAAAAAACATGCATTGTGTCATATATGTTGTATCCTTCCTACCAGCCTTGATTCAGTAACATATGCAAGCACCTATATATAATTAGGAACATATATATCTTTTTCCTAAATAGTTTTTTGAACTGGGATCTTAGCAAAAAAAACTGTCTAGACTTAATAAAAATATAAGTGTAAGGTAGCTATTAGCTATATATGATGCATAAAGAAATAATCAGAAAGTAATATCTACATTTCTCATCTGTAAATTTTTATTGTTGATATTGGGGGGAGTGAACTATTTTTTATTTTTTTTTTAAATCTTGACATAATTTTGATGCTTTACATTTTGACAAGGATAAATTTTGCAAAGGTTATTCTCAACATTACTGGTGTGGTTTGAGTTCTGGAGTACAATGCAGACTGCATTTTATAGCCTGCTACTGGCATTTTAAGCAACACAGTGGAGGGCAGATCATCATTTATGCCAAGAAGCTCATTTATGTAAGCTACAATGTCAAGTTTAATTAAGGGCTACAGTGACAAAAGGAAGCCGATTGCATGTGCTCAAAATACTTTTCAGATGACGAATGACTGACACCCATAAAGCCACATCCAGGGTAATTGTTAAGGTTATGTTACTTAAACCTGCCTAAAAATATCTAAGGCACTATATTCCAGTAGGTTGACATTCTATAAGATTTAAATCAAAAATCAGATAAATCGAACTTGCCTAATCAAATCTATTGCCTAAAATTCAGATTTATATTCAGGCTCTTTTTGCATGGAGAGAAAGAAAATATAACTGGCAATTAGAGGCATTTGTATCCCCACATGTTTTTTGTTCAGCTCTGTGAGATTTTATAATCAGTAACTTTGTAACTGGCTTACCAGAATGGCTTTATGATGATCCCTGGTCAAAGTAAATATGTAGAGAAAAATCTGCTGGCTTGATTTATTTTGTGTTTTTTGTCCCTGCTCAGAACACTCAGTGTTTGGGAAAGCAAGTCAAAACCTCTTCTGCCTAATCCCCATCAACATCTCTCTTTCTCTCTCTCTCTTTGTGGCCACTACATCACAAAGGGGGAGTTGATGCTAAGGATAAAGGTCAAGATGATAGAATATGACAACTCTTTGAATTGAAAAGAGAAATGAGTGTCCCTAAGTATTCAGCAGAGCTTCTCTTTGCTCCCTGCAGGGCATCTGCACCACAACCACCGCGTTTTTACACTTCTTCTTCTTAGCTTCATTCTGTTGGGTTTTGACAGAAGCGTGGCAGTCATATATGGCTGTTACTGGAAAAATTAGGACACGGCTCATAAGGAAACGTTTCCTGTGCCTTGGATGGGGTAAGTCAGTAAAACTCATTTCCCAAGAATCATTGGAATGAAGCATTTAATACAGTGACAATGTCAAGGATATAATTTTCTTCAGTAAACCTGAAAGATAGTAGACAGCATGTTACTAAAAAAAAAACTAGGTTAGGAGCCTTACCACTTTATCTCAGGCTCAAGCTATGCTGGTGTATGTTGTCGCATTCTTTTATAAATATGTTTTAACAAAATTTTAGAAGATTCTCAGCAAAATAACATAATATCAAGAAATCAAAATAAAACAAGAATAAAACATTCTCTGAATATTCATGAAGCCTCTTTCTAGTTCTCCTTAAGACCTGTCAAATGTACCAGCAATTTAGCTACATCAAAGTGGTACACCGTGGGCAGAAAACAGTGTCCTCCTCCCTGCCAGTGCTTCAGAAAAACAAATCCTGCAATAGCACTGTCATTCATTAAATAATTCATTCCATGTAAAATTGGGCATTTTGCATTAACTTGCCCTGTCATTTTTTGTCCAGGCAGAACAGCAATATTGTACTCAGCATCTAATGATTATTACTGTTTTGGGTTTTTTTTCAGGATTGCCAGCATTAGTGGTTGCAATATCAATAGGCTTTACCAAGACAAAAGGATATGGAACAGCCCACTAGTAAGTCAATCTGAAATGATAGATTATGTTTTTAATTATCAAGATTGTCATACCCATCAGGAACCGCCCACCGTACTCTAAAGGCTCTACAGGTATCCCATTCACACTTGGCACTGCCCTAAGAGTCACTGAGTGATCCACAAAAGAACAAAAGAAAACAGTATGGCAGTCTTGGACTGAGCTCAGCAAAGCACCAGGAATCCTGCATTTCCTCTCAGGTTTTGAAATAGTAAGCTTTTAAGCAACAGTGAAGATTAGGTCCACTTAGATTCCTAACACTTTTATAGGTTTGCAAAACAGAATGTTAAATATTATTACTATCCCCTGCCAGACTTCAAGCATATCTAAAACTATACTGGCAAATGTCTCTAGCACCCACGTTTCTGCATGTACCTCAGCTTTAATGCCCCTGAGCAGCTTGGAGCCAAAACCCTGCAGAGATCTCAAAATAGTTCTACCATCCAGCTTCTCTCTCCAGGAGAGCCTGATCCAGCCCATTTCCTGGACTGGGCTGTACTTGAGAGACAGCAAGGAGGAAATCTGTGTACTTCATTTGTATTCAATTAATACAGTTCCTGTTCAGCCACCTGGGTGGTTCCAGTGTGTATTGAGCACCTTGGAAAATTCACTCCTCAGAGAGACTGTCCTTTGGTCTTCTCCTGAAGAAGAAGCTTGGGCTGAGCCTCCCTCCTGCCAGAGGAGTGCTCCAACCACCATTATGTATGTGAGAGTGCATTTCCCTCGGTCGGCCTGTTTGGAGCTCTCCTCACGTTGCCTAAGAAATTAAGTATGCATCTGGACAGAAAGAGAGGAAATATGACTCTGTAGCCTGGTAATGAGAGCATTCATCAGAGATGTGGATGAGTTAGGTCAAGTCCTCACTTCAATGAATATTTAATTATTCTCCTTAGCATCATCACTGAGTGAGCGCAGGATTCCCCCTCCCATCCCTGTGTGTCTCACCATCTTGGCACATGGCAGGGGAGGCTTCAAGCCCTCACTCCAGCTCTGGGTGGGTAAGGATTCAAAACCAAATCTCTTCCTGAGTACAGGCTCTAACCATTGAGCACTTGAGTTTTTAACTGCGACAACGTGCATCTTGAGTTTTTTTAATGAGGAATGTCTTATGTAACTGAAGTGCTTAACTTGCACTTAGAGCTGTAGTGTCAGGAGTGAAACAATGGCCTAAGCCCTCTTTTGGGTGTTAAATTGAGGACGTACTTCTCTGACATTTTTTTTAACTATATGCTCATCTTGCTGGCTTTTTTATTATTTATTCCTTGAACCACGACTGGAGAACCATTTAGGCTGTGAGAATTAAAAATCACAAAATTACAATGTCCAGACCCCTTTGGGGACGTAACTCTGTCCCTTGAAGGACTGATCCCATTGCATTTGCTCTACTGAAATCATTCATGTGTGAGTACTTGCTTTAGTTAGAGCTGCTTCCTGCTTCCTTCCTGGGCTGAATGCATTTTTTAAAAAGGATATACTGAAATATTCAGACAAAGCAACAAATCATTCATTAAGGGTAACCTGGAAAGTAAAAACGGGCAGGTCTGTACATGGAACAGCTCCTCTCTCAGGATCCAAATCCAGCTGACACGGTACTGTGGGAGAAAAGAGCAAATGGAAGTGCACAAGGGACTAACAGAACCATCATGCAGCTTTCTCGTCTTATTTGCAAATATGTTTTCTTGGCATTTGACATCAGAATTACATAAGGAAAACAGCAAGGCAAGGAATGGAGATTACTCCTCCATCACCAGCTGATATGCTGTCCTACCCTAGAAGGCAGCAAAGAATTGTGTCCCATGACAACTGTTGGATGTTGTAAAAGCAGAGCTGCTGTCCTGCTCCTTCTCCCATAACTAAAGCACTTGTTTAAGTTTTTTAACTGCATGCACTGTATTTTGTCTGTTTGGCTGCAAACAATTACACACATGCTGTCATCAGATGCACATCCTCTTGCAAACTATTCCTGGTCTGTAAGATGCTATTTTTGAAATTGAAGGTTTCAAATGGGGAACATTTAAGGAATTGATTCCAGTCCTGTAGTTCTACACATGAAGAGATTCATGGAATGGGAGAAGGCCCAAGGATCTTTGAAGATCTCATGCACTATATGTCTGATGGAGGTGGCTTGAATTGTTCGCACTGGAACCAATACCTGTGGTCATCAGCCTCTGATTTGTCTTTTTCTCTGAGTCCTAATTATTAGACAGTTGTATTTCTGTACATTTAAAACTGCATATGAAAAATACTTCATGCAGACATTTGCAGTGATGTAGATACAGAAGCTGAAGAAATTTCCCAAATATAATGAAAGAAACCACAGATACAAGATTTTTGATATTTCAGGCTATCTGAAAAAGATTTGTGTGTCAAAAAGCTTAATAGCTTTTTCCAAATATTTCTGTAAGTCTAATATTTATTGCTGCTACTATTCTTCAGACAATCAGAGCTATGAAAACAACATTGCTATGAGATATAGTTAATAAACCTGCATGGACTACTCATGTTTACAAAGTGCTGCTATGAGTTATAGTTAGTAAACTTGCATGGACTACTCATGTTTACAAAGTGCATATAAGTTACAGAAAATAATTATATCAACAAAAAATTAAAATTCTGTCATAGTCATACTGTTGCCATGTTTTCTTAAGAGAAGGAATTGTTCTCCTGGAGAGCATCAAACAACTCACAAAATGTACAGGACACAGGAGCAAGTGTACAGATGCTTCATCACTCAGCAGAATTTTATGGCCATGTAACATGGTCCCATAAAACCGCCAGTGGCTGCTCTTAATACTAATCAATTTATATGTCTTACTGCTACTTGGGCATGAGAGAGAAAGAAGACAAAACAAAATGAAAACAAGTATAAAGCACAAATATGAAGAAATAAAAAGAAGAGGAGAAGGAAAAAAGAGTTAAAAATTAACAATAATTGCCTTACAGTGTAAGAAGGCACCTGAGAATCTGTCTTCAGAAAGTCTTCAACAGAATAAGATTGGGAAAAAGTGAATTTCAGAGTCATCAAGTAGGAGATGTCGAATATATTGCAGCAATGATGTCACAAATTGGTGAAAATCCAGACTGTTGAAAATTCAGATTGTGTAAAGGAAAAAGGACAAGCCCTACATTTTTTCCAGCTCTGCCTCTAAGGGGATATTACTCTTTTGAACAGCCTTTTTACTTGAGAACATGGAAAAGGGAAGGAACAATTCTCTCTTGGTCTTAAAGATTCTGTGGTAGAAACTGGTTTTGTTTTATTAAAAAAAAAAACACTTTCTTGAACCTTTTTCCAACCCAGGTAACTGAAATTATGTTTCAAATACAGTACATTGACTATTTTTATGAACTGATGTTTATGTCTCCCAACAAACATGAAAATTTTAGTGACGTGTCTTACTTACGCAGAGTGGTCATCTTCACTTAGTTGGAAAGTTCATGCTGGTAAGGAACTGCACTGTGAATATATTTCCCCCTCTCACAAATCTTTGTTCCCAGGCTCTCATGATAAATAACCTAGCTTTTGAAAAGTATAGCAAGAAAAATTGCAGAAAATTTGGAAAGCATTTTTCTTTGACATTACAAAAATAAATTGATCATTACTCTAGTCGTTGGTTTTTGAGTTAAGATGCAGAATAGCCTGACATGTATTACCTTTTTAACAGTGAAGCAGATAGAAACTATTTGCATCGATTTATCATTCCAGAATTTAGCACACTGGTGCAATTGGGTTCATGTGACACTTTTCACATGGCTTCATTGCAATGGAAAACACTTTTATTCTTTCCAGCCTTAACAGACCATTGGCATTATGATGTGCTTGCATTTAATTTACTTGGTTTTCAAAAGTACAAAACCAGTACTGGAAAATAAGGTATCTATGATTATGTGTGCGAATGTTTCTGGATGTGAGATCCAAGTAAATTATTTGAATGCATATACTTGAGTTTTCTTATATGTAGGTGTGATAATGCATTCAAATAAACATGCAGTTCTTTGAATGTGTAATCACTGGGAAAATAGCACAGCTGCATTTGCTTCAGTGTGTGAAGCTCCTGATCCTTTGCAGATATGGAAAGCTTTACATCATGGTGTATCAAATATTTAGAATTTGATTCTGTAAGTGCTCTGTGTTTGAAAATCTGATGGTTTTCAGTGAATGCTGTGATGCAGTATGACAAACTCTGTAAGATTAGTAGATCTCCAGAAACTGCAGCTTTCAGATGCTTTAAAATATGCATTTAAATTGTTTGCAAAATATTCCAGAGAATACAGAACAGTTAGATCATGTATGATTTCTCTCTAATGGGAATATTATGTTTAAAATATAGTTCTAATAGCAATTATTAAATGACAGGATGTGTAGAAACCTGTTTTTTTCTGAAATTCTGCATTACAGGTACTTGACCATTCATTGCTTTAAGTATATAACTGTCAAACATTGTAAGCTGGAAATGTTTCTAAATACCTACCTGAGTTAACTCATCATATATTGTCAGAGGAGATTCAAGGAAGGTTTACAGACTTACTTTCTATGGTGCTCTTAATACATTTTAGGCATTTCAGTTTATGCATACCTCACATTAAAGATTTTGAAATGCTAACAATGGTAATGGAAATACCTTTAAACATTCTAGATCATCCTATCAGCAAACATTCTTTTTTGTGTGTGCATATGAATCTCTTATGTCAGAAGGATCTCATGCTGTAGTAATTATTAATTCTTTCTTGACAATGTGTTATACTTATTTTTAATTTGTGTTAGTTCTTCTCTCATGTTCTTTCCAGCTGTTGGCTGTCTCTGGAAGGAGGGCTCCTTTATGCTTTCGTTGGACCTGCAGCTGCCGTTGTCTTGGTAAACATTATTATAATTTCCAGTATTTTTATAGAAAATGATGGAAAGTGCTATTTAAATTATGAAAGCTTAGCTGTACAGTAACATTGCATTTTGCTGTAAATACAGAGCTCAGTATTGTTTAACATACCTTCTGTATTTTGAATGCATGATTCGTTTCATTCTATCACTTCGTTATCCAGTTATCTCTCCATGTTTACACAGCAAGCTGTGGAAGAATAATGTACTGATTAGTAGCACAGAAAACTTGGTACAAGCATCACTGAGTTATTACCAGCAGCATCTACGCAATTGTCTCTGCCTTGTGAAGCTCAGTGACAGTCTTGATAGAGTGCTGCTTGGCAGTATATTGCTGTGCCAGCAAAAGCAACAGAAGGAGTGGAACTAGCCAGCAGGTTCTCCATAGCTACTGCTTTTGAAGGCAAAGAAAAAAAAATCATCATAGCTGAGAAATGTTACTCATTTGTGTATTAATCTTCCACATCTCTGGAAATGCATTTAGGTATAGGATTCACTTTTGCCTAGTTGTAGGCATCTGCAATGTAGATTTCTGCATCTGAGCTAGTTATCCCAGCCATATTTCCTATTTCTCAGTGGGGAAAAAGATACTTTTAGAGCTCAAACCATATTTTCTATTTCTCAGTGGAGAAAAAGATACTTTTAGAGCTCAAACCATCAGAGGTATTTCAGGTGTCTACTTCAGGGTAAGATGAATTACATCCTACTTGTGCCACTGGCTATCAGTCATCTGCTCTGCAGTCTGTATAGTTTTTGCACAATAATTCGTTTAGTATTTTTCCCTTACAGATTTTGAATCTTATTCCTCTTTCCACTCCACCAGTTTCATGCTACGATAGCTCAATCAGCACTGGTTGTTTCTGATTTTCCCTTGTAAAAGGGAATCTGTCTTACTAGTCATCAAAGATACAGCTATTTAGCTACATAAATTTTCCTGAAATGGATGTTTACTACTTCCATAGAGTTTGTCTCATCATTGCCTGGAGTCAATCCAGGATCCTTTTGTACAACTCACAGTCCCTGTCATGGTAGTGAAGCCAAGGATGTTTACAAAAAGCCAGTCATAATTTTCACATGGAACTGTATGTTCTCTGTGTAATTGGCAAGTCTTTGTTCAGAGATATTTGAACTTCACAGTCACAGTTTGCCCTACCATTAGCTAGTAGCTGTGGAAGGAACTGTTCCATGCAGCCACTCAAGCCTAAGTGAATGAAGCCAAAGAATTATATAACATCAGCTGAAAAATGTTAATGCTGAAAATAGAGCTGAAAAAGAGTTGGCAGGACAGATTAGCAACAATTAGTTATTTTGGCACAGGTATTGAAAAACCTGTTTGAAAGGAAAAAAGGATTACCCTTTTCTAATAAATACCCAAAAAAGGAACATTTATTTAGTAGATTCAAAAATTGGTATTACCTCTTTGCAGGGCCATGCAGAGAGAGGTTCATCGAGTTCAGTTCAATAATGCAAGTGGATAATAACAGTCATTAAGTTGTCAATTAAATGCCATTAGTATGTCCATTAAGTGCCAAAGTCTGACTCCTGAAACACTTGAAATTTTTTGAGGTTAGATCTTCAACCCATGTATGTGATCATAACCCCATTTACTTAAATGGAGCTAAACAGACTTACCCCAGGAATTTATCTGGTCCACAAAAATAGTAAACTGCAGTCAAACAAGGCTCAAAACTGGCATTTTGGTGAATGACATAGACAGTGACTAATGTGCAGGAAGATATGGAAAACCACAGGCTGGTTCTGCATAAGTGGGAACACCCACATGGGCCATAAATGTTTAAAAAGGAACATGGTTACTGTCATCATATGTTCCAACTAGTTCTTCCCCTTGCACATAACTCAAGTGCAGTGGTTTTGCTGGAATAGGATATACTGCTGCAAGTAAAACTGACAAAAATTAAGGCCATATCACTCAAGATTCTGGCATGTACATATATATGTCTTAAAACTAGGCATAACTCAAGATTCAAAACCAAGACTATTGCAGGGTCTGTATGTGTTACCCACTAGGAAATTCAGCATTTTGGTGTGTTCAGGGATGGTGCTACACAATTTCTCAAGGGATACTTGGGAATGTAAGAGGAGGCATTTTGCAGGCCTGTGAGAACCTTTTTCTAAAATAACAAGATGCAATATTTTCTTTTAGGCACAGAAAAACCAACTGTTTGTTTTCTGTTTGACAGGTCAACATGGTGATTGGCATTTTGGTATTTAATAAACTTGTTTCCAGAGATGGAATCCTAGATAAAAAGCTCAAACACAGAGCGGGGTAAGCAACAATTGGGTTATTTTCAAGCATATCAAAAGTTTTTCACCAATTTTCAATGACAGATATTCACCAAAAACTGCTTTTGATTGTGCTGTGAACTTTTATATCAGTGTAACAGTGTGTCTAACAGATTCCATTAATCTCAAAAACTGTGATTGCATTTTCCTGAGGCAATGCAACCAAACAAACTAAACATAATAAAACACAAGTACAACAGTATTAAGTTGATAAGAATGAGGATTAAACAAATCTGAGCAGGCTTTTCACAGGATGGTTAAAGTTGCTGCAGTTAGGAAAAAGGTTTTTTGAACTGTGTGTACTGAAGGAACTGATTATTTTTGTCTAGCTGTCAAATTTAACGACTGTGGTAGGAAATGTTACTCATTTGTGTAAAGTGTTATAAAGTATATTGTATAGCAATATATCCCTTACTCAGCTCAATTATTCTGCCATTTTGACTATGTTAAGAATTTGCCTTACATCCACATAGCATCTGCATAGGTGTAATGCAAAAGAATTTAGAAGTAAAACATTTTAAAAGCTGAAAAAGAAAAAAGGTAAATGTCTGTTATTGATTGTTTACTTGCATTTACATTCAAATTCTGTTTGTTATCATGAGAAGGATTATGACAGTGGTGGTATCAGAAACTGTTTTTCAGTGGATGACAATGATTTGAAGCACTGCAGCAGCAAACCTTGATTTATTGCCTGTTGGGGGAAAATATTTCACAAGTGCATCAGCACCTCCTTAATGCTTATGAAAATATATTGAAACTTTGAGAAATGATTTTCTTACAGCTACATTTTTTAATATTGTCTTTTGGGCCAGTTTGTAGTTAACTCCACCAAAATCTGCCTTTCTAACAGTGATAAGCAATGGTATCTACATTTCACGGTGTATTACTGCTTTGGGCAAATTTATTGCAGTTTCACTTTTAATTATTTTACTATGTAACAAACAGTAGCATTCCTAGTAAGTCCAGTTCATTGATTAGCTGAGTACATTTATTATAAATACTTCAGCTGGTGTGATTGGCATTTAATGTTAATTCAGTTAAGTCTTTCTGGTTTTCATTTCTTTCACCATCATTCTGATAAACATGCACCAAAAGCTTTAATGTTATTTTTTCTGTTTTCTTCCTTTTTCATTAGAAAGTATTAATTCTTCCATCTTACCTTTGTCTACGTTGCCCCATCAACATTCTTATGTCTGTAATAGCACTAGGGAAATCTAGGCTATTAAAAAAATATATTTCAAAATATTTCAGAAGTAGCAATGACTTCCTAGTCACCAATTCAAATTCATATATGCTCAGTGATATAAGGAGCTGGAACAACCATGAGTTTGGCTTTGTACTTTTTATAAGGTTATCCAAGCTTAGATTTAACTGTATTTTTTTTCCAGCTACTCAGTCGTAGGTGATAGAAATATATACTCTGCATTCCTGATGAAACAAATAATTTGCTTTCTGATTGTGAAACTTAGTAAAGAAACTTCTCAGTTGAATTAATTTTTAATTAATCTTTAATGAATAAAGAATTTAAAGTATTTCTGTCAGAAATAATCCAACTATTGTGAGACAACCCTAACGAGAAACAATCTTAACTTGTGTGATAGTATGAGATGGTGGTTTGACAAGAGCATTCCATGATACTCCTTGGCAAGTAACATCTCTTGGGTCATTCTTTGGGGCATAGAAATTGGTTCAGAATTTGACCTCAGGTAGAAAGATGGTTGCACTCATTTCTCAAGTACCTCTTGCCAGCCATGCTCAGGAAGGTAACTTCATTCTTTCTGGCAAACATCAGATTTGTCAAACGTTCAGTCCAAAGTTCAGCTGTAGGATTTAAAGCAAGAGAATGGGGTGAAATATACTAACTCTGTATGCTTTTTAGCACCTTAATAAGCATAAGAAGAATCAGCAAGTGGGAAAAAAAAAATATGTTGGTGGATCTCAATCACAGTGTCAATCATTTTCCTGGCAAAAGTGGTAGCATACGTAAATGCCCAGCCAGAAAATTTATATTTGGTTTATATACACATCAAGTTCTATTATTATTTTCAAGATCCAGAGCAGTTTTATAGAGGTAAAGAGAGTAATTCAGTCTGATATTATTGAAATATTGGCAGGCAAAGAGGGAAAGTAGTTTCCCAAGCTTAGTTTGTGTTTACCCAAGGCATTTTTCTAGGTCATTCTTTAATGTATATTTTTTATTGGTGTAAATGGATGTGAATTCACTTAGTTATGTTCACACCCCACAATCATCTTATGAAATGTCATGGTTCTCACTGTTTTCTTGTGAAAAAAAAATTGCATTTTTGTGGGAAATATACTGTGCTTTTTAATGGAAAGTCATAATCTGGTTTATCAAAATGGAAAACACTGGAATTCAATGTTGGTTTTGGCAGTACGTTAAAAATCTTGAAAATGCTGGGTTTGGCAATAGAAATGAGTTCTGTTGGTTGAAATAACTGGGGAAAAGGATGAAGTGTTACCTATCTTCACCATGTTGACCACTTTCCATCTGGGAATAGGTAAAGCACCCTTCCTGTTGCACCTCAGTCAGCTATGGTTTTTCCTGGTTCTGATAGCAGAAAGAAAAGGAATAGCAAAAATTTTTTTTTAGTCGACTCAGGAAGTTGAATGCATGCTGTATGGAAAAGAAACCTTAAATTCCAGGTTTTATCCTTTAACTCTTCTGACAGGTGCCGAGGTACAATTGTCCATACAAAATGCTTTGAGCTTAATGCTTGTGTACTGTGTTTTATTAAAATGCAAAACAGGTCACCCTTTTTTTTTTAGTACCAATTGATATTTATTTCATCAGATTCCATACATTTCAAGCCCTGTATTCAGACCTTCATATGGTATGAACAAAACCACTCCAGATGTTAGTGGGCCATGCAGGTCATTAGTACAAATCTTACTATGCAGGATGCCCATACTGATTTGATGCTTCAATAAATTTTGCAGGTTTCCTTCCCTATTAATGGTCTGTGATGGTACATATTTCACATTCCTCTTTTAAGTGTCCTATACTCTATCTCAAGCAAGTTTAAATGCAACAGTCTTTTAACAGGTCTGAATAGAGGGATTTCACTTTGTCTGTCTATCCTAGCACGTGCTTATGTTTACTTCAGTGTACTGAGCAGTTTTGGTCACTGGACATTTGGGGCCCTTTTTAGCTTAAATGGAAGAAAGAGAGTTTGCATGAAATGAAGCCCCTTAGCATTAACATTTAAAGCTAACAATAATGTGTAAAGTACAAAGTACAGTTTTGCAACAACATAGAGCTTACATCCTGAATAAGTCTACTTACTCTTTCTGCATGACATCATATATAAAAGCTAAATTTCAGTAGCAACGTTTCTTTGGTGACAATTCAATATTTTGTTCTTTTTGTGGGTGTTCTGTTTGTTTGCAGTCAGATGAGTGAGCCTCATAGCGGTTTGACGCTCAAATGTGCCAAGTGTGGAGTAGTTTCAACAACAGCTTTGTCAGCCACCACCGCCAGTAATGCCATGTTAGTCCTGATCATTTACATCTTCTTGTTACAAATCTTATACAGTGCATGTGAGACAATAGTTTGATGATGACAACTGTGTTTGCTAACAATGTATAGAGTGCTAAGCACATTTAAATACTTTTTTTAAAAAAGAAATAGAAGTAAAATTTGCAACTGTCTTTATTAACTGAATGCAGGATATTCTTTAGAAGATAAAGTATGACTGTTACATTCTTGTCTGTGATTTTCAAGTTAACTTCATAAAGTACCATCGTTAAATATGTTTTGCTTTAATAGTGAGTTTTAACCATTTTTTACAATATTACAATGCTGCTTTTCTCTTTCTTTTTTCACTAGGGCATCCCTTTGGAGTTCCTGTGTGGTATTGCCACTTCTAGCCCTGACTTGGATGTCTGCAGTTCTGGCCATGACAGACAAAAGATCAATATTATTTCAGATACTTTTTGCAGTATTTGATTCATTACAAGGCTTTGTTATTGTCATGGTCCATTGTATTCTCCGAAGGGAGGTGAGAAATGGCTTCCCAGTTTTCTAAAGGGCTGTGCTCCTGTTAATCTCTCAACTGCTCTTTAATGTCAAATACAGCTTGCTCTGCAGAAATATATTTCATGGAAAGAGAGAAGTATTTTATGTTGTAACATATAGGAACAAGTGAAAGAGAGAGAGGGAAGATCCGTTAATTCCAAGTGCAGAATGTCAGTTGCAGTATAAAACTCTACAGACTTAATTCAAGGTGTCTTTTAATCAATCCCAAGTACAGTTTAAGCATTAGACTTTGCCAATATTGTGAGTACAGGAAAATTCAAGCATGAATGTCCTTTTCCTGAAGGCCAAAATCTATAGATTTTTACACTCTCTAAAACAGATTCAAACACAAAATGATTTCTGCTTATACTGTCCCTGAAAGAGGACAGAAGATGATGATGTGTTCTGTTGGTGAAGATCTACCCTTTCAGTTCTACAAACTCAAGTACATACTTAAGGCAACATACTTAACTGTACAACATACCTAACTTACGTGGACAATAAGGATGAAGACAGATGAGTGCTTTGAGAACAGCAAGGACAACCCTGGCCTGTCCTTCACAGCTCAGTGCCACCTGCCACAGGATTCAGCACCACTGAAATCTGATGGCAAAGCTCCTACACAAGTGCTCTTTAATCTGGCTCTGGTGACAGCATCTCTAACCTATCTAATCTGCTAACTAAACCCACATTTTTATTGAGATGGGTTTGAGAGCAGTAGCATAACAGCTTTGTTGGCAGACCTGTGGTAATGGGGCTGTCTATCAAAAATCAGCAGGTGGTGCTGGACTGGAGAGCAGCATCCTGGTCCACCAGCATACCTGTGTGCTAATAACTTATCTACTTCAGGATATTGACCACATCAGTAAATGAAATTGCACTGTCCAGCATGGTTCCCTGTGATAGGCAGGAGTTATCTGAAAGCACCTCAGGACAGAATAAACAGGAAGATGTTTCAAGAAAGGTTCATTGTCAACACTGGGTGAGCAATCTCACACAGTGGTTTCCCTTTCCACCACTGGCACCCTTTAAGCACTGAAACTCAGTATATTAATGCAAAATAATTATGAGTGACATAATATATTCAAATCTTTCAGTGCTGAACCACTTTGCATGAGCTTTATATGACTATCCTACACAGTATGCATACATGATTATCTTATAAAAGAATTAGGTTTCCAATTTTCAAAGAAAAAAATCAATATCTTTCAGAAATTAGCACCTTGCATTGTGCTGATCCCTTCCCACTTTAATCATGCTTTTAAAGGCTATAAACTTTTGCATTTCTTAGTTTATCAGCTTTCATGCTGGGAGAGGCTTACCTCTTTTAATACTTTTTCTTTTTTCTTCTTTTGACTTTTTGTTCATGATAAAAATACATGCAGACTGAGAGATAATACTCAAGACAAATCTGTTTTATCTAGAAATGCCTTGCCCTTATTTTCTGCAATGTTTTCTTT